CACACACACACACACAAAAGAGACTGTTAAGAAAGGTGGCTCAATAACAAGCAACCAAAAATGCATATTATCTCCGCTGAACGAAAAACATTTATCTTCAAAATGTCAGTTTTTCAAGCACAAAGCACAGAAACCTTGTTATTACCATCAGCCTTTCTGAGATCATCCAGTGTTGTATGAGAAGGTTTGTAAAGCTAAGGTAGAATTTTCTCAGCCCATGCGGGGGCCATGTATGGTTTCACTTTATTTATATATGTCACCGCTGACTGTCAGCAATAACAGTGTGTCAGCAAACTGTTGACAGCTGCATCAGAACAAACTCTGTTGTTTATTTGAACTACTGCTCCCATACATTGTTGTGGAATATCATGACAATTAACTTAACAGTAAATAACCTAAAAGTTAAGATTAGGATTAATGTTAGGTTTGTCACATAAAAAGCTCCATTTGTTAGGATGACATCATGGCAACTGAGTCATAAATCAAACCCATATGTAGGAATGTTTTTCCCTTCAAACATATTTTATCTTTATTTATTTATGGCTCTACATAACACACTGAATCCAAAAAACAACATGTTAAAGTGAGGACAGTTATTTCCACCATGGATCCCGAAACACAAAACATGTCACATAAAATTAAACAATAAAATCCCAAATTATAACGGTACAAACTAAACCAGTTGTTTTGGACAACTTGATATTTATTGAAAGTTTCTGTTGTTCTACCCTGAGCTGTACAGGCTGCAGTGCCACCCCCTCTGAATCCATCAGTAACAGATGCTTAGGTGATGAAATACTTGTTGCTGAAATCTTCGAACTGAAATGAAAATATGAAAATTGCTAAAATGGGTGTATGGGGGTTTTCAACGTGTCAGCAACACATAGTTTAGTTTAGTTTAAAATTCCAGCTATTACAGCCAGTATATAATGGGAATATTCAGCATGAGAAGCCCCAGTGGTAACTGAACCCATAATTGTGGTAATTCCAGTGCTACTTGTATTGACTATGCACATTGCATGGAAAAAAACACCAAAAAGAAACCTACTGTCTGTAACGAGAAGTTGAGTCAGAAATGTGATGATTCTGTTGTCTGTAACATGATTTCAATTGCAAACCAAAACCTTAGCAGCCATTTTGGTGTTGTGCTGGATTACTGCCAACATCATTGTTAGAAGATTTACTTTATTAATCCTAATAACGGAATCTTTCACACATATATAGGAACACACAAAGAGCTTGTAAACATGTAAATGTGGCCTGATGGGCTGCCGTGTAGCGGTGCCCTGGGAACAAACATGTTTCAACCCCAAATTGGCTCATAAATCTATTTATACACAATGTTAGTTTGCATTGTTCAACTGATATTCCTTTGAGTCTGGCCTAGAGGTGTGTACTGACCATGGGGTTATAGCTACACCCATGGGTGGGACCTGAGCCATAGCTATCATTGAGGTCATGTCCTCAGTATTTTTATCTTTTCTTTTATAGCAACCTAGGAGAGTTACATGAAGAAAAAGTCATTTATAGGCAGATTCAAGGGTTACTTGGACTTGTGACTTCAGTTTTTTCTAAAATCCTACCCTACAATCCCAAGAGGGATACAACTATTGATACAATGACACACACCTGAGTGTGTTTAATACAATACCTGACAAAGAGACAATTTGGTCTTGAAACATACATTTTCTAACATGATAAGAGTTGAAAAAAAAAAAAGTGGAGCGTTGTCCTTGGGAGTTTAAACAAGTTTTTTGGACTCAGCATCTGGACAAGAAAGATATGTCTGTGTGTTTTGAACACCAATTGTTTGAAAGAATAATACATCAGATGTACACATACTGATTGAGTTCTGTTTACTTCTACAAGGCAAGCGTGAAAGCACGTGAGGGCTTGTGGATGAGTGTGCTTCAGTGTTTATGGTAGTGATGGTGTATAAAACCCAGAGTTAAAACCTCTATGAACTCTAATGATTCCCTGCTAAAAACCTTTCTTCCTCTTCTCCACTGTTCTACTTTCAACTTTCCTACTGTCTGTCTTGGTAATAAAAAAAGTATGCAGATGAGTGGATTGTCAAAAGGTTTCCATAATACTTACGGACGCATTTGTCTCTGCTCTCGTAATAGCCTGGACAGCACTGGTACCTCTTGCGGTAGTCTGTCTTGACCGCCTGCCTGTAGGCAGTTTTATAGGTGATCCTGAAAGAATAACATAGTCAAACAGGACACTTTGACCCTCCACTGGCAGGAACAGGAAGTCAGTCCAACAGGAAATGAGTCATCACATTGCTGCTACCTGTGGCGCGTGCATCTGTAGGAGGTCCGAGGGTCCGAGCAAGGCTCCTCTGTCACATGGTCGTAAGGATGTGAGTAGGACTCTTTCACTGAGGTGGTGAAGCTAAAAAGCAGCACATAAAACAAAAATCATTCAGAGCCAGTAAAAACTTTATCAAGCTGTATTTGAAACATAATAGTTTATTTTAACATTTAATCAAGGACAGCATTATTTGCCTGAAAAGTTTGGGATTGTTTTGCTTTGTTAGGGGTGTAGTGGCTCTGGGGGGAGCAATATCAGTCGGTCGGTCCACCCCTTTGAAACAGACTGAAATACCTCAACAACTATTGGATGAATGCCATGAAATTGTGTGCAGACAGTCATGGTCCCAATTAATGTTCCCTGTCAACAAGTAGTCGATTAATGGATATAGCTGATCAATAGAAAGGCCTCTATTGTAATAATCATTTATTAATTTTCTTAAAGCAAAATCCCAAACATCTGCCGTTCCAGATTTTTCAAATGTGAGGATTTGATGCTTTTCTTTGTTATGTGATAGCAAACCGAATAAATTTGTTATTATATTATATATTATATAATCATCATTATTATGTTCCCCTCAGGATGAACTCCAATAACTAATGTTGGCATGCTTACACAAAAAACTAAGATTGTTAACATTCAAGGATTTAAGGATATTTTATAGTCATTCACAGCAAGGTTGCAGAATTAAATTTAGATAAAGTTCCCTTTATGCTACCTACAAAAAAAATTATAATTGAGTCATAAAAATAACAATAAATAAAAATAAAGTGTATTTCACTGCACCTAAATACAGCCTCACAGAGCTGCTAGCATGGCTCTAGACTCTAGACATCAAATGTTATATTAGTTGTAGTAATACTGAATTCTGCAAATTCATAAAATGTTAAATTTAGCTCAGATGAAAGTAAAAAATCGGATCAATGCTACTAAGACATGCTAAGACACATCCTTACACTTTTGTTGGATTTAGATGAACTCTTGCAGGTAATCTGAAAGCTATTCACGTAAACAACTATGTATATTGGATTGGAAAAAAACCAATGGCCACAATCCATTCTGCAAAATCGTTACAATGGCAAAGAAGCTGGTGAATTTTATACTGAGATTAGTTTCCCACCAGTAAAGAGCAAACACGGGAATGCTGGGTTTTTTTTTTGTTACTTGGGTGGTGAATGAATATCTTGACCAACTGCTGACCTTCATGAATCCTGTTAGAACCATAAAAACTTTCAGCGAGACGTAAGCAGCACTGTATGAGAAAATATGTTGAATTGGATATAGCAACAGCAGTTTATTTGTTTGTCACAGTCCAACAGGCCTCACCTCTCCCACAGACTGCACACATTGGGGTCCCTTGGGTTTAGAGAACAGCTCAGACCAATCAGGAAGCTAAAAATCAGCAGGACTGCGGAGCTCTGCAGAGTCGGCATGGTCCTGAGGGAAAAAAGGACAGACATTTACAGAGGTATGCAAAAACCCAAACATTTCAGCAAGAATGGCATACAGCCAAAACATATTACTATTGTTATTAAGGGGAAAAATACAGAAGGCGGACACAATAAAAGCAACATTTGTACAATGCAAAGCAGTCTGGTTCTGCTTTGTTTAGGCCATGCTACAGAGGTGATGTTTTTACTCTGATAATTTCTGAGGTTTTAAAATGTAATTTCATTATACTGTAAATTGTTAACAATATTGTTTTTATTTTTATGCTTAAATAAACCACTTTGATAAACAAAAAATATAACAAAAGCATGTATATATATGTATTTTATGTAGGTTTTCTTCATAAAAAAGGAAGCGGAATTGTCTTGAAACAGCAATAACAGCAATAACTTTCTAATAGTCTGTGAGGCAAACGTACGCTGGAAAATGTTGCACACACAGATGGAAAATGTACAAAAAAGTTCCATTCCTGTTCTAAACCAAGATTTACCTTAATTGCTTTTGTTTTTCATTACTATAATTAACATTTCGCAGCATGATGGATAGAAAGATTCACTGAAAACTGGTTCTTGGTATCTATAAATTGTGGTTAAGATTTAGCCTCTGACTGTAAAAGAAGTCATTAAACGCTCAGCAGAGGTGAGGCAAAGAGCCAGACTTGAAGCGTAACGCTGTCTGCGCCCCGCTGAGCTCCACACCGTCTCAACAGGGCACATAAAACACACGCATCAGGAGACAACCTGACAGCAGAGAGGATAGATGGGGTGGAGTGAGAGCATAAGAAAGAAAGAAAACGAGAGTAGAGAGGGGGGATCACAGTTAAGAAATGTGACTCCTAACTTCATCTTGACCCCTATCAATCAGCGCTGCAGTGAAGCCTCCACACTCCTCTGCTGTCCCCTTCCACACTCCAGCAGCATCTGGATCTGATCAGTGCATCAGCCCAAGAGAGCGCCTCGGCATGGGGACCCTGTTGGGCTCTCAGGGAGCAAAAGGGAGCAGTTTTTTTCCGCTTAAAAATATCCAATAGAAATGAACAGAAGTTCAGCAGGCCAGTGGTCTGAGCCCTATGGTAAAAGTATCGTGGGAATGTTACGGCATTTCTAAAAAACGGGGACGTCATGTTGACATAGAATCAGTCAGGCTTGTTCCTCTCTGTTTTCTCAACAAGTCCCGTCTGACAGAATTATTGTACCACAGCTTCTCATGTCATGCTTTCATGGCCTTAGGGAGATTTCTGATATGTTGGGACAGTGACATCGCAGCCACGGATCAAGACTATCGTCTTTGGTCAAGTGACTCATGACAAAACATTTCAGATCTCAGAAGAAGGAGTGACAACAAATGCCTCTCTTACTGCTGACACTTGAGGGACTAGAAACGTCATTAGGATTCATCCCCCATGAATGTCTCTTCAGAATTTAATGGCAGTCCATTGTGGTGGACGGACCAACCGACACTGCCATCCCTTGAACCAAGCAGGGCTAAAAATATCATAGCCACTTCATGTTGAGGTGATTCTAGATCTAGATTAGGGTAAGATTTCTGTCAAGGATGATTAAGACATTTAAAACTAGATTTAAAAAGCCCTTTACATTACAGATTTGACCCTAGTTGCTGGCAATGGTTCCCATTGCATCACTCCACTGTCAAACTACATCCTTTTACAAGCCCTGTCTCCTTCATGTAATCCATTTGTGGTGGAGGTATGTATTTCTTTCACTTTCAATGCACATAAAAAATCCTGACATTGTTGGATTAAAAACGAGCATGGACTCTCCAACACAGATTGGGTCTTTTGTGAGTTGTATGACCACTTTCACCTGGCTGTTGTTGTCTCATGAAAAGATTAGTTTAGGTGACTAAAACTTGTAAGAATTTGGATATGATTTTGGTCGAGGTTAAGTAACTAAATTGGTAAAAAAGTTAGGATTTAGAGATTTGACCCTGGTTTCTGGCAGTACTTTATAGCCCTGTCTTCTTCATGTTCTACATTTGTGGTCCTTTTCATGCACATATTTGCATTTTAAGTCACTGTGCTCGGGAACTTTTGGGAAATTTCCTGAGGAGAAAAAGATTTGCCTGTGGCTTGGTGAATAATACATGGCTCTAATACTGCCAAGGTCAGCAGTTTAACTCCCATCTGAGCCACTTCATGTAGTATGTTTACAAAATGTGTTCTTTATGGTGCTTTGTAGAAAAAAACCCCACCCCAGAATAAGGATGACTTGATATGCTGATTGTAGAAGCAGTCCACCATAAACACTCAATCAATCAGAAGCTCATTTACTAGATTTACATCAACATTAACTCTATCCAGTGGCTGGTTATCACTGCTGGAGATTTGGCATGGTGAGGACTGCAGCATAAATCATTGTGAGTGCACAGATCCTCTGCTACTGATAAACTGCCTCTTACTACTCTCCTACCCACCGTCAGGAGTTAATTCACTTGCTGGCACAAATGCTAACGCCTAAGAAATCTGTGCCACAAAAACAGAATTTTATGAGAACAGGCATATGGCTTTTATTAAGAGGAGTCATCAACTTCACCAGCCACTTCATTGGACTGGGGGTAAATATTTTTCATTACCTTCTTTTCATTTTAATTGTGCTTCATTAGAGAAAGGCTTCAGACCGCATGGGAATTCTTAAACGCTGAGAAAGAGACCTTAATGAGTGCAGACGGAGTTGTTTTGAAGTTGAGCTCAGCCGCTGTTTGCATTGCATGTTTGAGTTACCTACAGTGGGAGGGGGCCAGGTAGACGTCTGGAGCTCCAGGTGGTATTATCATCATGTGGATACTGGACTCGTCAAGTAGGAAACCCTGCTTTTTTAGTGGAATAAAGGAAGGCAGGTACCAAAATTTTGTTTTTCACGAAACTCTACAACTGTGGACTGATTGATTCATCGCCTTTCCTCCTTTCACATAATAGCCTTCTATGTTACAGCCCTAAGCTATCATTATTTCCTTTGAGATTTTTCCAAACTGCAGCTCTGAACCCTCTCACTTGGACAAGCTTGGCCATGCAGCAGAAAAGCACAAGTAGCATAATGTATTGCAACAGTTTTTCCATTCAGTTTTGATGTTTAGCTAACAGCTAACTGGCAACGATGTATGCACACCTCCACATTTCACATCCACTGGTGAAAGAGGTATAAAGTCTGGACCAAGATCTGTGAAAAACCACAATAGTAGATATTTTGGTCTTGTTTGTAATGAAAAAAGCAGTCAATCTCATCCAGCACAGTGAAACTTTCATGTGGCTCCATAAACCAATAGAAAATAGGCAAAATACCACACACACAGGCATACGTGCATGCGCATGTGCACTTAAACACACCCATAACGTCCACATGCATGCACATACACACACTACAACACCCACTACAGTTTGTGACTCTTTCTGATCATGTGTTTTTATGTTCTGGAGACATTACACACGCATCAAATTAGTTACATACGCTGAAACGAGTTCAGAGAGAAACTATTTTTAGTATCTGAGGACATTTTGCTAATTCACTGAGCTTCTTGACTCATATATCAAGGCCCAAAGTAACGGCACATGCGTACACACATCGTACCAACTGAGGAATGCTGTGAGCTGGTTTAAGGGCCCCGCAATGCTCTTTCCAGAACCACACAGGGGCTTCAGGGAAAACAAAAGCCCAAATGAAAACACATGCACTGGTTTTATATTAATCTTGGTAGACACTTGTACCCATGTTATTGCCATATTCTGTTACAATCAAGAGCCCTTCAGGACACATAAGTGCTGACAACAGAAAAATTATTTTGATTCGATTTCATGCAAGAGAGCCATTTTCTTGACAGATGAGTATTCCCATCAGACTACATGTTCGTATTAGTAAAACAGTCAGGACAGAGAAAATGTAGAAACAAGACCACCTTCTCTAATGTGATTATCAATAGCATGAAGTAACAACAACCTGTTGAAGGACTAGTTGAACATTTTTGGGAACAGGCTCATTTGCTTTCTTGCTGACAGTTAGATGAGAAGAGTGACACAACACACGTCTGTCCATTAAATATGAAGCCAGGAGAAGTTTGCCTTAGCTTAGCCTAAAGACTGGACACGGGAAAACAGCTACGCTGGTTCTGTCTAAGAGTAACTCTGCCCACCAGCCCCTTTAATGATAACTAATTAGCACATTTACCTCATTTGTTAATTCATAGAAAAAGTGAAGTGTAAAAACAATAACTCATAGTTTCACAGGGGGTTATGAGCAGGGTTATTTCTTACCCAAGCACAGTAACTTCATTCCTAAGTCTTGTTGTCACCACGAGGCTGCTAGTTGCCTTATGCTAAGCTAACCTTAACTAAAGACGAGTCAGAACCAAGTGCAACCAATGAAAGTTGCCCAGCTTGGTAAAAAATGACATGCAGACGTTCATAATGCCAAACTAAAGACTTTAAAATAGTACTCTACAAACCAATGGGTCACGTCAAGTTCACACTTGAGCAAGTTAAGTATGTTTAAGCAATGTTTATCACTATCTTAGTTTAGAGTGTTTTTTTTAGTTTTAGATTTTGTAATTAAACACAGAAGAATGGAAGGGCATTAGTTTTGCCAGTATTTGGTCATTAACCAAAGTATTGGACAAACTGAAGATGGCACAGGATAAAAGATCAGGGGATAAAACTTCTTACAATTATTCCTGAGGGGAATTTCTTCTGCAGTGTTTTGATTTTCAGGATTAAAACTAATAACAGGTTCCATAGAAAAGATTTTGTTTTCATTTTGGTGACATTTTAAGGAAATTAAAATGATAAAATGGTTCTCTAACCTCATATTTCTGTCTCTCTATTTATTTCTCTGTAGTTGCAGTGCTAATTGAGGCAGAAAATATTAGTCATCCACTGGAAGGGAAAGTCACTGGGAAAATAAAAATAAAATAGATGGAATAACATATTGGCTGTGGTATTAAGAGAGACAGCGAGAGAGAGTAAGAGAGACCATACAAAT